TTGACGGCGCCTCCTCGGTGTGTCAGATCACCTCAGCTGTAGGACTCTCTCCGCCACACTCCTCTCCAAACACCGCAGGGGGGGAGGAGGAGGAGGAGGAGGAGGATCTCTCGTATTTTTTCAGGAAGATCCCTGCAGTTCTCCACACGCACCGCTCGGGGGTGACACTGGTGCGCTTTGCCCATGTTGTGTCCAGTTTGGATTTTCCTCAGACTCTGAAAATAAATCCAGTTTTGTGAGAATTTTATCATGTGTAGTTGGAAAACTTGAACACAAATGCGTGTGGTGCACAAAGCTGTTTGTGGTGCTGAACAATGCTGCAACACAATCCCTGAACCAATGGCCTAAACATGCAAAATACATCATATACATAATAAGATAATTCTTTATTGCTCCCCACGCCAGGGGAAATTTATAATAATAATAACAATAGTAATATGTACAATATATACAAGGGTGGAAAATTAAAATGAATAAATACAGTATTAAGAATAATAATGTACTAAATTGTACAACAAAATAAATGAAATAAAATTGTAAAATAATATTAAAGAATATCCCATTAAACCATTAAAATACAGTCCTTTTCCATAATTAAAACACGTTTTCTAATGCTAATTTTGCATGAATTTATGTGTAATTTCATTTGCTTTTCAGTGTTTATTGAAGGATATTTGTATGTGCAAAAACAATAAGCTTATTAACAATATATTATAAGAAAAAAACACATTTATTCCATAATGTTGTGGTGAAAACGTTTGTAATTTTACAAAATAGCTCTCATTTAACAAATAAATCTGCGTAAAATGACAGAATCAGTGCTCCTTTTTCTATCATTTTCTGTCATATGTTTACAGTGTTAAACTTAAATTTAACAAAAAATAAATATCTGTGAAATTACCATAAATAAACAAATCATAGCATGGTAATGTTATGGTTGTTTGCGGTTACTGATTTTTTATGTTATTTTCATTAGTCATTCATTCATTAACAATCTATTTTTAGTGATTTCAGTGATCTATTTGTATATTTAAAAAACATTTTTTTTAAACTGTAAAATACAGGGAACAATCACATAAAACTTTTTTTTAACAGTGTATACATAAAATAGCATGATACATCATTTTCTAACAATATAAGTACAGTCTATTGGGTTTGTGTGCTGCATATTTTATATATTTAACCTTTATTTAACCAGGAAAGACCCATTGAGATTAAAGACCTCTTTTACAAGGGCGTCCTGTAGACTGGTGCACAATTGGCACATGCTAAACAAAACTATTATGACATGCGATGAATATCTCAAACGTCTGTGTGCAGTTACCGACCTCACCAACCTCCCCAGTGCTTATTGTTCTCTTACGTGCTGTTTGTCTGATTTCTATCTGCTATCTTGTTGTCTCTCTTCTATCCTAAACCCAACCGGTCGAGGCAGATTGCTGTTCTCCTTTGAGCCTGGTGCTACCAGAGGCCTCCTACTGTTTAAAGGGCAGTTTTTTTTTTCTGCACTGTCACCAAAGAGCTGCTCAGAGGTGATCTGTGGATTTGTTGAGTTTCTCCCTGATGATATGATATTGCAAGATGTTCACCTTAATATGTAAAGTGCCTTGAGATTACAGTTGTGTAAACAAAACTGATCTGCACTGAATTAAATATTAAACCAGTTGTTTCCAAAAAGCAATGTGTAGTCACATTCACATATGTATGAGTTTTAAACAACTTCATCAAATTTTCCCTCTAAACCGCTTACAGGTTGTCATCCCAATAAATGTTCAAGTGATTCAATATCTCATTAGAAATGAAAATGAAAGAAAAAGCCCATAATTTAATCTAAAATAGAAGAATCATCTGTGTGTGTGTGGGTGTCCCTTTATATAAAACTGCATATAAAATAGCTGAAACTAGCTCCACCTGCAGCAGCTACAGCAGTAACTAATGCTATTTGTATATTATTAATGATCTAATGCAGTCACATATAATAATATATCAGCTAAAGGGACCAAACTACTATTTTTACTTTAATACTTTAAATATATTGTATGCTAATACCCAGGTGCTTCTCCTTACTCATGTTTTTTTTGAATACTTCTTCCACCACTGCTGTTTAATATTAGCTGGCAAGTGTTAAAAGTTTAAAAATGTCGAACCACAAAGCTAAAAACTCAATTTTAGTTAAAAATATTCTCCATACATGAGCTTGAAGTGCTGTTTATTATGCAGACATCCATCACTGTCAGTCCTCCAGACGGCCGTTAGGGGGCAGCGTCCTCCGTTTTGTCCAGGTTTGGGGTTTCTGCTTTATGCAAGTTGCACCGCGGCTGTGACAGCGAATATTTACCTCTGAGCGATGATTTTAGCCGAATAATTCACCACCTTCGCCTCTTTCCTCTGTGAGAAGTCCGTCGCAGCAACTGCAGGAGGTTCAAGGTAAAATGGAGAAAGTTCCTGAGGAGGCGCGTCTGGTTTGTCTGTGGGCTAGCTGGCTAGTTGATGCTACGCTAAGCTAACTCTTCGGGTTCAGTAACAGAGCGGCGGCTAATGGAACATTAGCTTCGTTCATTTTATGGCAGGTGTAGCTATAGTTCATTTAGAAGCTCAGAATAAATACTTTGTTGTGTTTTTTGGAATAACACTCTGTCCTCTTGCAAAAACAAGTGTTTAGCATGCCGTTGTCGTCTTAGCGTTGGCCGAGTCAGAAAAATAAAGTAAAGCCAGCAAACCAAAAAGTAAATTATTGTTAGCTCCACTTGCTAACATTAGCCAGTTGTCATCATGAAATACGAGAGCGACCTGTTGTCTCAGAAGGTGCTATCTGTTATTCAGTGTGTCTGTACAGCATCGAGTTATTCTGACAGCACAGCTCGTAACCGCACAGTGTTCTTCCTCCGGTCCAGGGGTGCTATCTTTGAAGCGGTGTCAGACATTGGCACCTCACACCTGCGGGTCTGACAACTCGGTGGAACGTAACGGAGGAAAATACGGACCGTGATGTTCAATCCACACATCCATCAGCAGCAGCAGCAGCAGCAACAACAGTTTCACCAGCACCTGCGGCAGCTACAGCAACTTTTCCAGCAGCAGCCCCCGCCTCCTCCGCCGCAGCCGCCTCCGGGACACCATGTCCCCCATCACCACCAGACGCCGCGGTAAGCCCGTTAACTCCAGACCGGGGATTACGCGGGGCCCTGCAGATCACAGATGTGCAGAGCGGTGGTGGCTGAGCCAGAGGCCCAGTCACAACACCACCTGCCAAAACTACTTTTATGGTTTCAGATGTTGGATTCTGTGTGAAACAGTGTTAAATATGTATTATAAGGTGAGCTAGTGCCATGGTCTGTTATCCATCCTGCCCTGAGGTAGTGTTTACAATCTGCCTGTTATATAAAACACTGTTGAAAGATTTCTGGCTTCAGACCAAAAACATAATCACATCACCTTTGTTCAGGCCTCCTGGCACTCACAACCAATGCAAACAAAGTCACAGCCTAATTAATCACCAGTAGTTAAAGAAAAGGTGCCATGATGGTTTGTGTCAAATTAGCTGTTCGCATTTCTTTTTTTTAAAATCCTCATTAAACCTCAGGAAGCATGTCCTTATCTTTTTCATTGTCCTTTTACTGAGGATAAACAAATATTGCAGCCAATTTACTTTTATTACAACAGCATCCCATGCTGTGCCTCCTTTTTTCCATGCTATTATTTTCATGCAGGTGTTTGTTCTTTTAGTCATTTTTATTTAGGATTACCTGGATGACTGAGACTCTCCACAGACATTTGGACATATTTACCTTTACCATCTAGGAAATCAACCTTTTGTTATATACAACCTCATTATTATATTATCATCATGAAATTAAACATCTTAGGAATAATTTGCATTGGCTCACATTTGTGAAACATATCCATGACTGTTACAAATGTCTTTTTTGCAGTGTTTATTGACTAATGGCGCTTTGTAATTATGTGCTATAAATGATCTAAAATTTCTATGTATTGATGTGGAAGGAAGGTAGCTTCTGAGCTGCACAGTCAGCTAGTTCAGAATACAAGCTTGAAGAAAAGAAAGAATATATAAATAATAAATAGAATTGTGAAATAAATGTATAAGNAGGGTTTTGGTGACAGGGGCTCCGGCCCTTCCTTCTTTATGTAAATTGAAGTGTGCCATCGCCGGTCACCAATTGGGCCAGAGCAGGTGGGCGGAGACGAGCCAACCTCTCCGGATCCAACAGGACATTCCAGCTAGTGATGGCAGCCTATTTAATTTGCAGCAGCCCAGTTGTCTATGAGGGTGTACTCAGCGCACCAGTGCCTTGTTTTCTTGCGAGAAGTTTATCATATGTGAAGTTAAACATGTTTAAGGCACTTAGTAAAGAACATGTCTTTAAACAGGGCTAGTTGTGTTGATTAATATTCTTTATTCGCTTTTAGAAAGGTGTTTTTCTGTGAACTTTGACTTTGAACACTTTGTTATTCTGTTGAAACTGGCTTTACTTTGTTCTTTTGTTTTATCAGCTTTGAGCTATTTCCGTAAGATCTTTTGTCTTAATTGTTTGTTGAGTTAACCGAGCACCTTTACACCCTGTTTTTCTTCGGTTTGCGGTTTTGTTGGTTTTGTTAAATTCTGTTAATAATTAATTGTTGCTTTTAAACTAATTACATCTGGTTTTGTTGCTTCCCTTTTCCCTTCAACAAGCTGGGTTGTAACATTTTTGAAAATACAAAATGTCTTTTAAAACCTGCTGGTGGGATTTGAAATTCAGAGGTTTAAATATGTGAACCCCTCAACATTCATCTTAACAACATCCATTTTTGTTTGAAACGTGCTAAACAAAGTATTGAACAGTTCCCATTTCCGTATAAGACTCATGTGTCAAGCTGCGACATAAACTAGCAGAGTGATGAAGCGATGACCCATCTTTCAGAATAATTTTTTTTAGGTTCATTATATTGTATTTTGTGGCTGACAAGAACCTCTACAGGGATGTCACGAGTGCTACCTGTGGGGCAGTTCATCAGCTGCAGAACCAAAGGACGACGGGTCACAATGCCGGAGCCACGGGGAAGGAAATCCCTGCAACACACGGACAACAAGAGACGACGATTAGTAAAAATGAACAAGAATGCAAAGTAACTAGAATAAATCACACAAAATTTAAACTCAAATAAACCCACAGAAAAAACTAAAGCACTACATGATTAATAACGTGTGTCATCAAAGAGCAAAAACACAAAAGAACATGAGTCAGTGCTAATGAATCGGCATCCTGACGCCTTGTGAAGATTTCATTGTTGTTCCCTCCAGAACGCTGCGTGTGCGTGTGTGTGTGTGTTGCAGTACTGAACAACAACAAATCCTCACACACCAGCTGTGCTCCCATCGGGCCATTTTGCTGTTTTCTGCATGAATCAACTTGGAGAGTTCATCCAGTACAGTAGGAAGACAGCTGAACATTTTTCACTGTAATAAGGGCCGTGACCGACAAATACCTTCACTGTCAGTTAATCTTTATTAATTATTGATTGATTCATCTATAAAATATCAGACACTAGTGTACTTTACGTTGAAATAACATAATTTTTTTTAGCATAACTGGACGTTGTGCTCAAAATGATGGTTTGTTTGCTGTACAATAATGTATTATACATACAGATGATCTTTAATGTTTCTTGAGATGTCAGACTTCTACTGACACTAATGATTGTTTTCATTTTCAGTTATTCTGTCAAATATTTTCTCAATTAAGTGATTCATTGTTTGATCGATAAAACATGACAATACAATAAAAAGAGACCATCATAAAATCATAGATGACATAAAATATGCTGCTTTAAAGTCCAAATCCTAATGGGGAGCAGCAAAGTCTCATATTAAAAAACCTGAATCTGTCAAATTTTAACATTTTTGGCTCTAAAAAATACAATTAAATACCATATATTGCGTTTATCTCCAGCGGGTTAGACTACTGTGACGTCCTGCTCACTGGCCTCTCTAAACGAGCTGTAAGACGGCTGCAGTTTATCCAGAACGCTGCTGCTTGAGTCCTGACTGGAACCAGGAAGTACGACCACGTTAGTCCAGTGCTCAAGTCTCTGCACTGGCTTCCTGTCGCTCAGAGAATTGACTTTAAAACAGCTTTGATTGTGTACAAGGCTCTTCATGGTCCAGCACCAAAGTACATCTCTGACATGTTAGTGCTGTATGAACCATGTCGAGCTCTGAGAACCTCAGGGAGGGTCTCCTGCTGGTGCCCAGAGTCAGGACCAAACACAGTGAGGCTGCGTTCCAGTTTCAAGCAGCTAAAACGTGGAACTGGATTTCAGAAGATGTGAGACAGGCCTCAACTCTGACAGTGTTCGAACAGTTCTATTGAGTTGTACATGTGTCAGCTGAAAGTTTTTATCTGTACTCTTCAAATTAATGATTATATTTATGTTTTTATGGATGGATTTTATCTGCCTCTTTGCTTTTAATGTAATTTATTGATAAATGTGTTTATGTTCTGTGGACTGATTTTATCTGTGTTCTTATACTTTTGTGTGAAGCTCTTTGAATTACCTCGGGTACAAATTGTGCTATACAAATAAACCTGCCTTTCCTTGCCGTTATTTAGCTAACAAAATAGTTGCTGATCAATATTGTGACTTATCTATTAACTGCCTAATTGTTGCAGCTCAACATTACACATTTAGACACTGATTGTGCCTGTATAGCAGTAAGTGACAAGTCATCTAACTTTACAAATTTGATTAGAAGTAAATTATCTAATAAAACAGACAAATTTACCCTCTTTGGGATGTTTCTCATTTAAAAAGACTCTAATAGATCCTTAAGCAGCAGCAGAAAGATGAAAAAATCCCCCAACATTACTGTACAACAGCTTCACAGAGCCACAGAAGTGCTGAAAATGACTACATTTGGCAAATAAATAAGGTAATTCTCTTGAGTGCTTTTCTGTTTTGCGTTGTTATATTTTCCCTCCATCTGCTGTCATATTCTATCAGGAAGTTATCTGCGCGTGTCTGTGCAAATTAGCATGTTTTGCATCCCAAATAACTGTTGTTGGGGTGCGACTGAAGTGTTAAGTGTGTGCTTGTGACAGCATCCCAGCATGTGTTCATGTGTTCACATACAGCTGGCTGCCTACCAGCGTCTTTTCATGCATTCTTATGCACAACGCACTGTTTTCTTTGCAGCAGCGTCAACCGGCCACTGGCACTGTGAGCTCCTCGACCCGCTGACGTGACAGTTGTCATTCAGCGATGCGTGATGAACAATAACAAGGGACTGTTAAAGACGCATGTACTCGAGTTTTCTACTGAACAACTTGAATGTATCCCGATGACAGCCACGCAGCGAGGCGTTCAGTTGAAGAACAACACGTTTCCATAAATGTTTTGTTTTCAGCAATAAACACTTCATCGACAGGCTGCTTCAAATGTAGTAAAATCAGCCAAAGATAAAATATTCAGTATCTGACGGGGGGAGAACTCCACATTAATCAGCTGAACGACATGAATAAGAAATAGACGAGGCCTCTGTTTGAACCTGAAGCAAAGCCTGAGGCGGTTTGGATCCGTGAGTCATGAGCTGAGAGTTAATCAGAGCTCAGCTGCGTTTGCTCAAAACTCTGACCTGACAGGCAGAGAGCACATTCAGCAATTAGACATTCAGAGTGGTGGGCATGCTCAGCTGTCACAGTTTAGCTGCACTGTGGACTAAGTGTATTTGTTAAATCTTCTTATGTACATTTTGCTCCTGATTTAACAGAATATTCAGACATTTGGGGAAAAAATGTCCTTGTCTTTGTCTTTTTCTGAATATTGATTTATTTCTGTGATAAAACTGCCTGATTTTGTCAAAAGGTAACAAAATCTGTGAACCAACGTTTTTAAAGTTCACTAATAAACATGTTGTCTCATTTGTTCATGTGTTTATTAAAAAACTGAACAAAAGTGACAATTGTTTTGGACGATTTTTTGCTTTCTGTTGGTTTCTGCAAACTAGTGCTGCACATAGAACAGCAGAGTACCTTTATATTACTGTGATAACAACCAGAAAGTAAATAAGCATTCTTTTAATTTTATCAGGGGAATCGAGCACTTAACTTATCTCCTTATCTGTTGCTTCTAGGAGCTCTCTGCCACAAACACTGCAGGTTCACATCAAGTAGATTTCCCATAAACTCTAAATAGGAATGTCAGAAGGACTTTATAAAAAAAAAACTTCCTGTTTTTTTATACTTATACTCACTAACAATACCTGAAACTTTAAATATAATCAAGATGGAAGCTTCTAGCATGTATTTTATACGACATCTGCATCTGTGTTGTGTTCTGAATCTAGACTACCATCACTGTCAGCAGAATTAGGCAAAAAAGAAAAGCTATTCAATCAATCAAAAATACCAAATTGATTATAGATCCTCTCTACTTACTGATTAAATTCCGAAAAACTAATCTTTGTGCATCAAAACGGCATATTTCAAAGGGTTTTTTAACAAAAAGAATCTCTTCCTGCCTTAAAATGCCTTAGATGTGACTCTAAACTCTAAGCCTCCCTTAAAATGTGCAGACCTATAAAGTCCCTGCTTCTTTCTCTGCAGCTCAGCACACCAGCTCACCTTCAAATCTGCTCAAACACCGCCACACAATAACTTATATTACTGGAGCAATTCAGCCATACATGTCCAAACGAGAAACTAAATCTTAAAAGAAATATTGGTACAGAAAGCTCCAGACTGGAAGCTCACAGGTCTGGTTCCTTTGTTGTAGTCTGATTCTGTGTTTCTGAGACTCCCATCAGCACGCTGCAGATTCATGATGATGCTACAAGATGCTCATCCGTGGTTTTCACTGCTTATTTCACTTACGATGTGTCTTGTAACATGTATGACAAAAAAACACCACATGGGCATATTAACAAGGTAGAAAACTTGATTTCCACTGGAGATGGTCTTTGAGGTGCTACAGGATTATTACCTCCATTAATTCTCTCTGAAAGACTGAAGCAGGTGTGGTAATCTCATAAAACTGCCGGTTCTGCAAATCAGCCTTTCTTAATCCTTGTCCAACCTGCAGTATGTCACTGAATGCATGAGGGAGAAGATCAACAAGCTTGTGATTGTCCAGAAAGACTGTTTATTAGCAACAGCTGCTGCTCTTGGTGCAGCTTGATGGGGAGTGTTTGTTGTTATTCTGCTGCTTCGTTCAATAAAGCCTCTCTCTCTCTCTCTCTCTCTCTTGCCTTTTATCTGTGTCTATCCTCTGGTCTACCTGCCTGCCAGTGTAGAGTTTGCATACATGTGTCCGTCTGTCCCATTTGGAAGCCTTCTACAGAGGACAGATGGTCCTAACTGCAGGTCTTCTTCTCACTCCTCCTCCTCCTCAAACTGCCACCACAAAGACCCACCAAATGACGGCGAGGAGCCACAGACGGAATCAATTTTTACACACATTTCCCGGGTATTGCCGCATTACCAAGAAGATCCATAAGCCTGTCATGTTCGACGGCGGCGAGGAAGCTGTGACAGCAGCATCGCTCTCTGCTCGACAGGCTCACCTTCCCCTCACCCTCCTCTGTCATGTATCCCACGGCGATGAAAATTCTCATCCCACAGAATCCCCAAACCGTGGGAGGAGAGGGCTAAAACTTTAAACAATGAAATGGAGCAAATGAGGACGGCCGGAGATATTTCTGCAACGCTGACAGTCACGCCAACAGAGATTTTAAGGTTACATCAAGATACCTTCTGCAAGCACTTACCTATGAGTGCACTCAGCAGCCTATGTCTAAAAGCACTTCCAGTCCCAACAACATTTACTCACTTTACTGTTTGATAGCATTTAGTAAAATCTGCAGCTCAAGGGGCTGAAGGATCGGTCTGTCTAACCATCCGGGGTAAAGCTGGGAAGTATGATGATATAAATTTATATAAAATTACATGTGTGCGGTGATGCTGAAGGCACTGATGGAGGTCACGAGGTCAGGACGGGTCACTTAGAGCATATGGAGTCACAGCGTTTGATTTTTAGACCCAAGAAAAGCCCCTCTCAGACAAAACAGATTCAACT